GCGGCGGGTCTGGGCCGGGGGCCGGAGGGAGGAGCCCGGCTGCAAGCTGACACCCGCGCCTCGCGGAGCCCGGGGAGCGGCGCGCTCACACTCACACACTCACACTCACGCTCGCACTCCACTCACTCACACCTTCCGGGGGCTGCACCTCCCGCTGCGCACGCCTTCCCCCGTCCCCACCCCCAAACTCGCCCGGGCCCGTTATCCCGCCCTCGGGGAGACTCTCGCACCACCCCACCGAACCCCGGGAGTCTCGTCCCCTCCCCTTCCCATCCCCTAACTTTCTTCCTAAGAGCCCCCAGAACTCCGAGCCGGTTCACACCCGCTCCCGCCGTATCGGTGCGCCGGCGGGCGGCTGTGCCCCCTGCGGGAGAGCCTGGGACACACCGACCCGCGGCGGACCACTGCGAGGAGTCTCGGGGCGCCGGACCTCGTCAGCCCTGGTCGTCCCTGCCGGATGCAGAGTAGGGGTCAGGGAAATTTATGACACCGAAATATGCCGGCTACTTTCTGCTTGGAGCTCCTTCCTGTGGGAATCCATCGCACCCCCTCTGCCTGGATATCGGTTGTTTAGGTGTTTAGAGTCACATGCACCAACGAAGTCCTGAAGACTGCCTTTGGCCAGATTTTGGAACCAGATCATAAATCGGAAAATTGTGGACTTGGTTTCAGAAAGGATTCAGATTTGGTTGATTGCAAGGAAAAATTGTCCAGTGACCTAAGCTGTTCACTGTCTCAGTAACCAGTGAATATATGAAAAATGCTCAACCAACTTTAAGTAAAGAAATGCTGATGATAATGGCAGTAAGACACCAGACCTCCCCGCCACCTCCGGGAAAGTCTGAAAAGATGGGTATCTTGTGTCATCCACACCGGTAACTCTTGATGAGAGCCCTTTTAAAATGTTACAGATTTTATTTTTATTTTATTTTTAATTTGGTATAGGGTGCTCGGGATGTGGGGTACACATACAGATGCAGCGTGTTTTTCAGGCCACCCAATAGGGACTGAAACCTTGCAGTTGGCCATGCGAGATCTGGCTGCCTTAAACCAGCAGACCACATGGCTGGTCTCCTAGAACACATATTCTAAATGACTCAGTGGCAACATGGGACTACCTGAAACAACTGGCAGAGGAGTTTTATACAAAGGTACCAGCCGATATGGGCGAAGTTGCAGATACCAAGCCGTTCTGAGCATCAGGGAAGCTGGTGAAATGAATTCTGCCGCTTTCTTACAGTGACCGTCTACCCCAAAACCAGCTCAGCAGAGACCCCTACACATAGGAACCTAGGGTGATTTTGAAAAAAATTTTAAAAAGAGAGAGAGATTTTGGCTATAGAGTGTGTGCGCTTGCTGGAGAGACAGAAAGAAGTTACCCTTCCGGGGGATGGCCACACTGTGGTTGATTCTTCTCCTGGGATTTGGGGCACACGCGCACACACACCTGGCATGAATTTCAAGCTGCCAGTTTTATGACTCAAACCACAGTCAGCCATGTGGGAGGCCAGCACCCCAACCACCCCATCCCCTGCTAGCTTCCCTCTTTTTTTTTTTTTTGAGAGGTTTTCTCTATAGGGCGCATGTGCTCACCAGAGAGACAGAGAGGCAGAAAGCAAGAAATCAACCCCCAGGGGGGCTGGCCACGCCGCAGTCCCTTCTCCTCTCGGGATCTTGGGCACTCACGCACACGTGCCCAGCGTGAGTTTAAGCCACCGGGTCCAGGACTCGAACCGTGGTCGACTACGTGGGAGTCCAGTGACATAGCCATTACGCTAACTACTGGTCCCAACCAGGCATGATTTTCAGGCCACTGAATCCAGGACTCAAACTGCAGGTCAGCCATGTGGGAGTCCAGAACCTTAACCACCACATGCCTGCTGGCTCCCAATCTCGATGTCTTAAAACAACAGAAGTTGGGGACCAACCAATGGAGTAAGTTACCTCGCTGAACTCCCACGTAGTCAATCACAGTTCAAGTCCCAGACTCGGTGGCTTAAAACATGCCAGGCGCATGCCCAAGATCCTAAAAGGAAAAGGGATTGTGGCGGGTCCATCTCCCTTGGGTCTGATTTCTTGTTTTCTCTCTGCCTCTCTCTGGCAAGTGCACACGCCCTATAGTAAAATCTCTCTTAAGGACCAGCAGTTAGCGTAAGGGCCATGTAGTCGGCTATGTTTTGAGTCCCAGACCCGGTGACTTGAACTCACGCCAGGCATGTGTGCGTGCATGCCCAAGATCCCAAGAGAAGAGAGGAGAAGGGATTGCAGCGTGGCCATCCCCCCTGGGAGGTGATTTCCTGCTTTCTGTCTCTCTGTGTCTCTCTTTCTGGCAAGTGCATGTACCCTATAGCAAAAACCTCTCAAAAAAAAAAAAATCTCTCTTAAGAAAATAAATAAATAAATAAATACAGAAGTTGGACCAGTCATCCAGTGGCATAGTGGTGAAGGTGGCTAGATAGCACATAGTCACCAATGTCATTCTAATCCCAGACCTAGCAGCTTGACAGAAGTACCAGGTACATTTGCATGCATGCCCAGAATCCTGACAGGGAGGAGGGAGAAACGGAGAAGGGATTGTGGTGTGACCCCGTCCCTTGGGAAATTTCACTTATTCCTCTTTCTCTCTGGCGAGTGCAGCACCCTATAATAACATTAAAGCAACACAAGTTTATTCTGTCACACCATGGTGGAATACAAAAGTCCAAAGACAGTCTCACTGAGTAGAAATCAAGGCGGCAGGGCCATGCTCCTTACCTCTCCCAGCTTCTGTGGCTGCGGGCACGCCTTCGTGTGCAAGCACGCTATCCTGAGCTCCGCGCCTGTGTTACGTTCCCTTTCGCTTTGCCTGCGTCATTTTGCCCTCTGTCTCCTTGTCAGAGCACGTATGTATTGGCATTTAGGGCTCATGCAGACCATCCTGGATGATCTGCCTTTGTCAAGGTCCTTAACTTAACCACCTCTGAAAAAGATCCCTTTCCTTAAGCATTTACAGAGTACAGGGATTAGGTCATGGGCATAGCTTTAGGAGTGAGCCATTATCATCCTGCCACAACTATCAGCATTGAAGAAATGCAAATTAAAACAGCTTAGAGATAGCACTTTTCATCTATCAGATTGGAAAAGCCAGAAAAGAATTATAATGACCACCATTGTCCTCATGCTGAGAAGCCCATTGGGTTGCTGGATGTGCCCCTGTGTACCATTTCTTTCTTTTTCTTAAGAATTGTTTTATTGGGACCAGCAGTTGGCGTAATGGCTATGTCACTGGACTCCCATGTAGTCGACCGTGGTTCAAGTCCCGGACCCAGTGGCTTAAACTCATGCCAGGTACGTGTGCATGCGTGCCCAAGATCCCGAGAGGAGAATGGAGAAGGGATTGTGGTGTGGCCATCCCCCTGGGGGGTGATTTCTCGCTTTCTTTTTTTTTAACTTTTTTTTTTTGAGAGGTTTTTGCTATAGGGCGCATGCGCTCGCCAGAAAGACAGAGAAAGAGACAGAGAGACAGAAGGCGAGAAATCAACCCCCGGGGGGGATGGGCCCACCCCTCACCCCCTCCCCCTCCATTCTCCTCTCGGGATCTTGGGCACGCACACACATGTGCCTGGTGTGAGTTTTAAGCCACCGGGTGCGGGACGCGCTAACTGCTGGTCCTGATTTCTTGCTTTCTTTCTCTCTGTCCTCTCTTGTTTTTCTGGCAAGCACATGTGCCCTATATCGAAAACCTCTCAAAAAAAAAAAAAAGAATTATTTTATTTAACTTTTTTTATTATTATTATTTTCTAGTTTGATCAGAGAGAGAAAGAAAGTGAGAAAGCAAGCCACCAGTTCCAGGACTTGAACCAAGGTTGCCCACATAGGAGTCCAGAGCCTTTAACCACCACACCACCTGGTGGCTCCATTGTGTAGCATTTCTAAAGGGAAGTTTGGCAATCCCTATGAGAAAGCTGTAAGAGTGTAAACGCTTTGACTCCTCCGTGTACTTCTAGGATTTTTAAGGAAATAACCAGTCATGGGGCTGGCAGGTGGCATAGTAGATAGGGGATCTGGACCCCCACATGGCTGACGGCAGTTCAAATCCCAGACCTACTGGCTTGCTTTGTCATTGTTTTCTCTCTTTTCTCTCTCTCTCTGGTTCTGTCTCTCTCTGGTCAAATTAAGATAAATAAAGTTAAAATAATTCTTTTAAAAAAAGAAAAGGAAATAACCAGGCACACAGGTAGCCTGTACAAGGGTGTTCGTCACCATAAAAAGCTAGAAAGAATCCATGGCCCCAAACAGGGAATTAGGAACTTGCATTTGTCCAACGGAACGCTCTGACGTTGTGGCAACATGTTTATCGGTGTGCACAGCAGCTCATGGTAGTCCGTGAAAGTAGCGAATTAAAATGTGTTCATCTAAACTTCTGCTTCCCATTCTGTAGGAGGGTTGATGTCAGACTGACCCTTCCATCAAGAACAACTAGAGACCCTGGATGAAATGCCCAAGTAGAACCACAATATTCAGATGACTTGGGGGCATCACTACCAACCAAGTCAGTCGGGATTCGAGATATTTGAAAGGAAATTCCTTCAGAGTAAATTTATATTTACCGTCGTTTTATCTCCTCAGTGTGTTTGGAGGTTTCCAGCGCCAGACACAGAAGCCAAACAATAGGCCACTGTGTGGGGCAAACTACAGCTGCTTGTTTGGTCTGTG